AAACATATTGGCAGCATGGATCTCTCAAAATTATTTATCTGTTTCTTTGCCACAAATATTTAAATGACTTTTCTAAAGATGAAAATGTATTATATTACATTTTTGAAAAAAAACCTTGCAATTCTTATGTAGCATTAACTGAACTGGAGAACTAGAATCACCAAACACCACCAAATCACCAAAACTCACCAATCACCAAACCCCATCAGAACAGAATGTTTTGCATGCACTATATTACAAAGTATTTTCTCTTCTTCGCCCTCACACACAAGTTTACATCCCGTTTTTAAGCCATAGGGTTTAACATGATTTAATTCATCCCAAAGGTGTTTGGGATATCGTTTTTGAGGTCAGGAGTCTGTGCAGGCCAAGTTCTTCCACAGCAAACTTGCTCATTTATGTCTTTATGGACCTTGCTTTGTGCACTGGTTTGCAGTCTTATTGGAACCATGGCCATGACCACGTGTGGGACCATCCTCACACCGTTCCCACAAAGTTGGAAGCAAGAAAATGTCCAAGATGTCCAAGATGTCTTGCTGTGCTTCTCCACTACTAGAGTCCAGTAGCAATGTGTTTTATACCACTCCATGTGGTGCAGCTGCTCATTCATGGAAACCCATCACACGAAGCTACACACTGCTCTTGAGTTATTCTTGAGTTATTCTGAAGGCCACATGAAGTTTGGAGGTCTGTAGCGATTGGCTCTGCAGGTGACCTCTGCACACTATGCGCCTCAGTATCCTCTGACTCCTCTCTGTAATTTTTGATGGTTTACCTGTTCATGGCTAACATGTTGTCATTCCCAATCGTTATATTAACAGTAAAAGTTGACTGTGGAATATTTAGTGGCGAGGAAATTTCACAACTGGACTTGTTGTACAGCTGGCATCCATCATGTTACCATGCTGGAATTCACTGTTTCTACAACATTTCTTTGCCTAGGTGCTTGATTTTATCCACCTCTGGCCATGGAAGTGATTGGAACACCTGATGTGGCGTGAATGAGACACGGCGAGTTCACAGGTCAAGTTTCTGAGACATTTTATTGAATGCGGCGGCAGCTCACAGACTGCCAGCCGCGCATACACTACGCCACAACTCACAACTCTCTCTTCCCAAACCCTGTTTCCCCGTGTTTAACACAGCGGGCGTGATTGCGGATGAAGTGCAGGTGCGTCCGAACGGCACCGCAGACCACACCTCACCACACCTGAATTTAGTGATTTAAATGGGTGAGTGAATACTTTTTGCAGTATACTATATATCTTGTGGAGAGTAGTGCCCCCGCACAGTGCAGCCAGGATGAAAGTCCAAGTAAAAATCTCATATGTATTTTTTTATTTAGATGGGTCAATCTTGCCCATTGGGAAATAAAATCCAATAAATCCTACAACTCTGTCGTTTCAGATTGAGTCAGGATTTTAGGGCAGTACTGTGCCACATTTTGCTTAGGTGAGCATATTTTCTCATATAAATCTAATAGAAACTTGTTTCCAATATCAGTGAGATACCACAAGCTGTTTTGATTTGTATGCATCCACTAACAGACAGGGTATATAGTCTGTAATGCTTTCAACTGAATGATAATTTGGCATTTTGATCAAACAAGGCAAGTAAAATTTAACAACAGGTAGCTAAACATATACTCACTGCCTTTGTTGGGTACACTGTTCAACTGCTTATTTACACAAATATTAACCAGTGACATGGCAGAAACCCAATGCATACAGCTATGGTCCAAATGAGCTGCTGATGTTCAAACTGAGGATTAGAATGGGGAAGAAATGATTTAAATGACCTTAAATATGGGATGGTAGTTGATGTGAGAGATGCTAGTCTGAGCATTTCAGAAAGTAACAATCTTCTAGGATTTTCCAGCACAATCACTTCTAGGGTCTGAAATAATGACTCTTTACAACCAAAGGAGACAGAAGAGCATCTCTGAGCTCAAAACACATAGAACCTTGAAGCAGATGGACTACAGCAGCAGAGCAACGCACTAGGCGTCACTCCTGTCAGCTAATAAAAGGAAACTGAGGCTACTGTTTGCACAGGCTCACCAAAATTTGATAATAATAGTTTGGATTGCCTGGTCTGATTTGTACTGTGACACTGAGATGGAAGGGTCAGAATTTGGTGTAAACAACATTAAAGCATGGATCCATCCTGCTTTGTATCAATGGTTCAGGTTAGTGATGGTGCTGTAATGGTGTGGGGGAATTTTTATTTATTTATTTATTTAGGCACACTATTATTTAGGCCTTTTAGTATCAACTTTAAACACCGCAGCCTGCCTAAGTATTGTTGTTCACCCCTCTATGAACACAGTGTACCCATGTTCAGATAGATAACGTGCCAAAAAGCTCAAATAATTTAATTAACAGTTTGTTAACAATGTGTGATGCCTCTCACAGTTACCAGATATCAATCCAGGAGAGCACATGCGGGAACGGATGCTTCACATCACAGAGGTGCAGCCGACCAATCTGCAGTACCGTGTGATGCTGTCATGTTGATATGGGCCAAAATCCCAAAGCAATGTTTCCCACATTTTTGAATCTATGTCACAAAGAATTAGGCTCATTCTCAAAGCAAAGGTACTAGCAAAGTAGCCAGTGAGTGTATCTTTTTATTCATTTACCCTCATCAATAGAGTTGCTGTTGCATCTGATCAACAACTCCTGGTTGATGATATTTTCAACAAACTTATTATTTAATCATCAGTATGTCAAGTTAAAGCAGACAGGCTCTAGCTGATGAGACTGTAATATTCAACCTTCCTGAAAATTTGAATTAATCTTACATGACTTAACTATGACCTTCAGAATGCAAAGAGGCAGAGCTTAAAAAAAAACCATAGCACCCAGTATCAAATATTTAAATTTACTGCATACACATAGTGAGTTCTGTCACTAAATGTTCCTCTCTTTGTAAACTAGTTGATATGCAATCAATATTTTAGTCAGATATCAGTTTTTCATTATATGATAATATAGACGTGTGTGATAGAGCAACTGGGTTTACCAATGAGGCAAAAAGATTCTTTTATCTTCAGCACAGACTCTGTCTCTGTGTTTTTTTCTCTAACCTGGTCTCAGATCCTACACACTCATATTGCCTAAAGACATACGGTACATTTTATCCCCAAATGCATTACCACTACAATTGCATTGGTGAGCTCTCCACAAAAGAATAATACCATAAAATACATTGACATAATTTAATTTTCTCCTAACATTCACGTGTTTCTCTGAATTTTTCAGAGAGAATAGCAGGTGAGAGTTACAAATGTGGGCACAAATAAAAGGCTGGAACACGTAACTTAATTAAAAGTCTTGAAAATGTCATTCTGTGTCTTTATTAATAAAAGAAGGTTTATAATTAAGAGCCCTGATTGAATTCTGCCCTTGTCCTGAAGACGGCGTACTGAATTTAAAACATTTGCCAATTTTACTGCAAAATATAACTAGAAAAAATTGCATTTCCTGCGAAAATGCAGTGTGGATGCTGTAAAGCTGAAGCTGTCTGCTGAAGATAGTTGAAAATAGCTGAAGAAGCTGAAGAAATCAAAGTCAGTTTTTAAAAAGTTGTTGAAATTTTAATAACTTTGCAGAACGACATCAAGTTAACAAAAATGCAATAACTTAGCAGAAATGCAATAACTTAGAAGAAACATAACAATTCAGCAGAAACGTTGTAGTTTACCAGAAGCTACAACTTAGCAGAAATGTAATAATTTAGAATAACATAACTTAGCAGAAATGATATAATTTAGTAGAAAATTAATAACTTGGCAGAAATATTACAACTTATCAGAACTGCTATAATTTTGCAGAAATGTAATTATTAGGAAAAAACTGTAAACAGATAAAAGCTGAAAATGATGAAGTAACCTCAAAGTTACTTGTTTAACTGTGAAAAATGACCAGAAACATTAGAAAAGGAAGAAAACCAATTCAATTAAATTTATATAGCGCCAATTCACAACAAAAGAGGCGCTTCATAGATACAGAGAAAAACCCAACAATCATATGACCCCCTATGAGCAAGCACTTTGGCGACAGTGGGAAGGAAAAACTCCCTTTTAACAGGAAGAAACCTCCAGCAGAACCAGGCTCAGGGAGGGGCGGCCATCTGCTGCGACCGGTTGGGGTGAGAGAAGGAAGACAGGAATACCAGCCAGCAGATAAACTGATGTGAAACAAAACCAAGGTAAAATTGCAGAATTTACACAGTTGGTGAAATGTAAAAATGGCAACAAAAAACCCCCAAACAAACAAACAAAAAAAAAAAACAAACAACATTTAGTTAATAAATGCACAAGATGATTTGATGATAAATATGGTACCAATCTACAAAATACTGTCGAAATGAAGTCCACATTGTGATATATTTCAGGTGTGGAGAGTCACACAGCTAAACAATCGATGTGCATATTTAAAGAATCAAATAAAGAACATTGTTGTGGAATAAATTACAGTGAATAATAATCACTGCCCTGCATTAGAGAGTGACTTATGATGAGGTATTAATTGGCTTAACTTTACCTCTAACAGCTTTTCACATAGTGCTGTGACCAGGGTGAAATCCATCATAAAGTAACTGTAAACAGTAGAACCATTAGCATGAATGTTATGGTTCTACTCTGATCAAAACTCAAGTCAGCTGTTTGACCTGATATAAAATGATAAAGAGGAACACATATAAATGGATGTGACCTTTATGAACTTTTCAAAATGACTTTATATGTCTGACCCATTATCTATATATATTAGAGCAGCGGTCCCCAACCCCCGGGCCTCGGACCGGTACCGGTCCGTGAGTCGTTTGGTACCGGGCCGCGAGAGTTGAGGCTCAGGTGTGAAATGTATAGTTTTCAGGGTTTTTATCGGTTTTCAGCGTTATTTTGTTATCGTTTTTATCGTTTACTCGGTTTTCCTGGGTCTTTTCACGTGTGTTATGAATAAATTTTCTTTTTTTCGGTACCGGTACTAGTTTTATTTTGTTGTATTTATCCGCGACACCTTAAAGGCCGGTCCATGAAAATATTGTCGGGCATAAACCGGTCCATGGCGCAAAAAAGGTTGGGGACCGCTGTATTAGAGCAGATGTGGAAAACCACTGTTAGACCTACTCTATACTAATGTAGTTACTGACACCCCATACTAAGGCAGGATTCATACAAACACACATTATTTATTCTCTTAAACACTTTCTTTTTTCACATTTTGAGATTGTGTAATTTCTAAAAAGAATACATGTAATGGTTCAATAGATATAGTTATTTAAATGTCCATAATAATCACATGATCATTTTTGTACATCCTACAATCCAGGATTTAGAGCTGTGTGTCTGTATGAATTCAGCTTGCTATACTTATAGACTTAGATATATTAATCCACTATTTACCCAAACAAGTTACATTGTTTGGGTAAATAGATTGGGTTTGTTCTACAAAATAATTATTCAACAATAAAAAAAACACAAAAAAAATCTGCACATTAATCCAGAGTTCAGTTTCATATGTCTGATATTGTTTGTTAAATCTGGTGACACAAACACAGTCAATAATTCATTGCTAGTGTGACATGTGGTCCTTTTTGCCTTTGACCAATGATATGCTGGTTACTTGGACCAGTTTAGTATTTGCTGTCACAGAGGAATGTTAACCATAAATCCAAAAGACAAAACTGAAAAAAATATGTTAATTGCAAACATGTTTTTGCTTAGTAAAAGGATTGAAATTACATGGAAACTGTCACCTTAAAGCCTCATTGTAAATATCATCACAAACAGATGTTTTCCACACAGTTAACAAAGCTCCACCACATCCGATCACTGCACATAAATCTAAAAGAAAACAAAAACAAATAAAAAAAATAAAATTAACACAAGGGAAGACTTTTGATTTAATAACTAAGCTTAAAATAAGTGTTACCTTTGAATATTTGTGGGAAAAATCTGATGCTACCCCAAGAATACAAAGCCACACTGGAAACGATGACAGGCTTGCAGCCCTCTGTCTTCCTGGAGTGAGGTGCCTGATCAGTAGCAGTGAGTTGACAGAAGTTGGTGTCTGTAAGAGTGGCCAAACACTGATACTCTGTCCACTTGAGTAGAGTCTAAGAAGCTGGAATGCAGGCACACTGGACGAGCTTGTTCTAAAAAATACAGAAAAAGGAACATTTTATTTGTGTTAAGGCCTAAAAACTACAAATAAGTTATACAATGAACAATGTTGAAATACCTTATAGGTGCTGCAGGCCACATAACCAGAATCCAGAGCAATCTCACACTCACATGATGGTGAGGAAAGACATGAGCTCTGCAATGAGGTTTGAATGTCCCAGTTGGGACACTGAAGAACTCAGAAGACAGCAATACCTGCACAGAGAGACAGAGTAGAAAAAGCATAGATTTGTAATCCATAATGTCAATTAAAACTCAAAAAGTGTCAACAAGTATAATCATTTGAGTGTGGAATTATTTATGCACTAAACAGGATTTTAATTAATTAATTGAATTAAAAACACTGACATTTTTTATCAAAGATAAAGAATCATACCTCTCTCTGCTCTGAGGATCACTGAGCATCTCTGACAGGAAATACAGTTTCCTCAGTAGGAGTCATCATTGATGGTCTCAGAGGTTGTAGTGTGGCAGCATGGATGATGGTCTCCAGATCAGGCAGGAGGTCAGGTGATGGGTGTGTCATCTTCTCCATTGAAGACATACTGGTATGGCAGTTCATAACACAGCAGTCTCTGTGTGGCATGTAGTTATCTGTGCAGTCCAGCACTGATGGATCAGGTTTGGCTCAGCAGTTCATGTGTTT